CACCACCTGGGAAGAAGCCCTGAATACAGGCCCAGTCATCAGGGCAGGAACTATCTCCCCTTCAGCTACTGCTACAAAAGGAAATTCCCTTTCACAGAGGTTCAAGCTCAGTGTCCAGAGCCCTTGCCCTGTGCACCTGTTGGATTGCTACTAACAGGCTTGTTTTGTGTTAACACCACCTTCTGTCTCCAGTCATGGCTGGAATAGAAAACCAAGCTCTGAACAGCCCCATGCCCTCTCATACAGCACTGCTTCAATGCCTCACCTGTTATTACATCTCAACATGAGTTTTTCTCAATTATTTTCGCCACAAACAAGACTAGGACAGGTTAACAAAACAGAATGCAGACTGTGACCAGAAATGCAAAGACCTGTTATAAACTGAGAGCAGTGATGTGTAGCTAGGATAAGGTAGAAAGACATAGCTTCCTTCCCACTACAGGCTGAAACCTCTAAGTCTGGTCTCACAATCACTCCTTTCATGGGGAACAGAGCCCTAGTCATTATGTTTTTCCCTAGAAAGACAATTTAAGCAAAGTGGTGATCCAGAGGGTGAAATAACTCCTATTGAGACAGTCCAGAGCTAACACTTGACAAGGCAGCAACAAGACAAGAAGCCTTGAAAGCAGAGCAGATGCAGGCACCACAACAAAATTACAGCTTCCATCCTGTTCATGTCTTGAAACCATATACAATACTCATCTTCAGTGCAATTTTTCACATTACATAGCTCTAAAAATATTTTGTCTTTATTATGTTTAGTGATGTAAATGGCTGATTAAATAGATTTCATCAAGCAATCAAAATAGAACAACCTTTTTGTTTCCACTCTGCAGAACTACCATCTGCCCTAGGGAAATAAAAAGCTTGAGGACTACTATTTCATATTAAACTGCTGAAGCTAACAAACAATTCCAGGAACATACTGTGTCTTGATAGTTTATGAAATAGTTTAAAGCATGCATGCTTTTTCTTTCCCCCATGTGCATCCAATTTCCTATTGATTCAGCATCCATATCCTGCATAAACCTGAGCTACACAAGTTTTCAGCAGTGCCTCTACCTGGAGCTGATCTGCTGTGAAGCTGGTCCGAGCTCTTTTTGCTGGTTTTGGATGGTTGACATCTTGTTCTGTTAGTAAAGCTCCTTCCACACTAATCCCATTACCTGAAGCATTAAAAAGAAAAAAACAGTGCCTGCTAAACATTCACAATGGTGTTATGAATAAGTCAGACTGCTCTCCAACAATAACCAACAGCACTTGGTCAGCTGAATTTCAGCTTTAAAAAGCCATATTCTATTCAAAGTTAAATTGAGTGGCACCATTACACCATACCCCAAACAACTTGCTTGCAAGTGAAGGAAGAAATTAATCTAGCATGATATTTTCTCAAGGTATGCTGTTGCTTTCTTTTCCTAAGGACAGAAAACAAGTTACACAAGCTCAAAAAAAATTAAAGCATAATATAATTTGCAAATTATTTTAATTCCAGAACCTGTGCTTCCAGTCTCAGTAAAGCCAGGCAATTACCTCTTAATAAGGAAGATGAAGTAAATGCCAACAATGTATTTAAAACTGAACCACATAGTTCTCAACAAAAGCAGCATGTTACCATTTTCGACTTCTCTTTTCAGATTGTCCAACATGCAGTCGTAATGTACTCTACAAAGGACTTTCTCTTCAACCAAAGCAAACTCCTCTCCAGTTGAAAGCTGCCTTTTGCAGGAGAAGCATGCAAAGCATGCCAAGTGGTACACGTTCCCTTTGGCCCTCCGGACCCAGTCAGTGGAGTGGATGTGCCTCCCACAGCGGGAGCAGCGCGTGCCGTACCGCCTGCAACGAGAACAGCCATCAGGGGCAAGGGCAGACACCACCGGCCCAGACCAAGGCAAGACCGCTACAGGAACAGAGGTTAGTACTTTCACAAAACAAAGAGCAAAATTGAAGCATATTAACTCCTATATGAATTCACAACTCTTCATCTTTCTTTTGATAATTAGTCCTAATAAAGGCTGAGAGATGGAAACAACTCATTTTGTGTTCAAAATCCTCCCAATTATTCAAATGTATTTCACATTGGTCTAGGGGTAGTCTGAATTATTATATTTCGCTATATCATCTTTCACATTCAGCACCTTCAGCAGAGGGGAAAAACCTGTATCTTCATACTTCTTTCTTCAATTATATTCAAATATCTGCAAATACTTACATTATTACAGTAGAATATTTCTCTTTGAAGAGGAAGCTAGCCACCAAGGTATGTTGATTGTTTAGATAAGAATTTGTCCTGAACATCTTTGCAGACTCATAAATTCTTTTTTCAAGTCACACAGAACTGTGTTTTTCCAGAAGTTCACAGCATTCAGCCTGCCCCCTCCCTCTCTTTCGGTGTCAGACATGACTAGCTGGACATAATCCTGTCACCGCACTGGTGAGAAACCCATAGTTTGGTCTAGCAGTCAAACTAGAGAAGTACTAGAAATCACATTAAAATTAACAGCAAAATTTTCTGCTTTCTGTATCAAAGACTTTGCATCTTGAGTACTTACATTGCCAATACAAATTAATATCCTTCCTTACAGGATTAGCCCTTAATCTTGAAAAACGCTTCACATTCCAAATCAAACTGATCACAGAAAGGTGTAATTGCTGAAAGCTTCCTTTAAAGATCACAAGATTTATTCTGAGTTGATTTTGCAGTTCCCTGTGATGCCCCACGTCCCACACCAGCAAAGTGCTACTCCAAGTAGATCATCTCAGCTCTACCCTGCATTCTCAGCCAGCATCACTCAAAGATGATTCTTTGCAGACGTGATAGCGTTACAACTGTACTGTGGCAGGGACTCTGGCTGTTTTTTCCCCCGTGCATACAGAAGTAAGCAATGGTATAAATGCAGCAGCAATGTGCAACAGTGGAGGGGCAGGGAGTTACATTAGACAGGTTTGGGGTTCCCCAAGTCCCTCAGCAAGACAAGTCAGAGTTTAAACTACTGAAAATAAACCTAGCAAATAAAAAAAGAGCCTCTAGGGCATTTCAGTTGTGGCTTAAGTCAAAACTAACAAGCAAATGTAACAGTTATCTGATAAATGATGTTCCTGGATGATATACCTGAAATAATCAAGTTTACAGAAGATATCTTTATCTTTGATGTAGCAGCTGGTATGCCTTCCCAGGGATGTTCTGCAAACACTGCACGAGAGGCAGCGCACATGCCAGCAGAGGTCATTCACCTGCGAAAGCACAACACAAAAATATCCCTCAACGCTTGTGCTACCAGTAGTACATTTTATATTCACAAACCCTATTTTCTTCCAGACCAGGTCAAAAGTCATATGTACCATGATTCACGGAAAAAAATATCTTCAACACAAAACATTTTTTCTACAGAACTACATGCATATTAAAGGTTAACTAATTTGATGGAGATCTTCAGGATAAGCTTTCATGATTTTGTAATTAAAGCACCAGAAGAGGAAGCAAGAGATTCAAGTTCCATGTAGGTATTTTGTGCCCAGTTCTGTTCTCATAGGATTAAGAGTAACAGAGCAAGTTTTGGCCTTATATGACCTTGGGAAGGCAGCTAACTTACATACTTTTATTTCCAGTCTGTAAAAAGTCTTGCCTAGCAAAGAACAAACTTTGCAAGGTGATTTGAAATTTTAAAATGAGTATTGAAAGCGGGGGGAAAAGTCCATCAAATAGAAACACACCATGAACCTTCACTTGCTAGGTTTCTGTAAAAGCAAAGTTGGGGAATACAGTGAGCTTCAAAACAGCAGCAGTTGTTTTAATACTAAAATCAACATTTCTTTAAGAAATCCATAGCAAAACTAGACATAGTCATGGAATGCAACAGAAATTAGGAGTTTTGAAAACTCACATGAATTTTCACTGCAAGTAAATGACAGCAATTGTTTTAATTTCTGCTTTCCTATACAGAGATATCTTGATTGTGTAGACATTGCAGATGACCTAAATAAATAATTTGACAACCCAAGACTCCCAGTGACCATAAAAAGCAAATAATAACCTTCTGGATAATCCCTGTTACATAGGAGGAATTCTGTAAACCAAACAATGACTAAGTTTAGACTTAAAATTTTTTTCCCCTGAACCAGTTTCTCATACCAAAAAGCCCCTATATTGCCTGTGGCAAAGCAGATTCAAGATAATCCCAGATACGCTTTTCATCAGAGCACTGCCAGACAAACCACAGCAAATGAGAGGCATTGACTCCAACACTCATGCTGGAATCACTCGTTTCAGTCATTCTTCAGGTTATAACATTGCAGTTCGCAGTTGCCCAACACTTTCCCCACTATTATCCTTGTTGGCAGGCACCTTCCCAAACACTGACAAATTTACACCACAGTATAATATGAAACTGCTGATAGCAGCTGTCACCAAAACCACCTTCCCAATTCTGTCTCAGAAGGGCTGCAGAGCAGGGGAGCAGCACTGGGCCAGACTGAACCTGCCCCACAGCCCGTCCTGCCATGCCAAGGCTTCCTAGGCCGCCTCAGGCCTGCCCCAAGCCCAGCACAGGCAAGAGGACCCCGAGCAGCTCTGCACAGCCTGAGCTGACATCCCAGCCACACAGCAGGACACCAACAGCTTCCATAGTTGCCCCATTTAATGTTACTTGTCCATGTTCCTACTTGTTAATTGACAGGGATGAAGTTGAAAGCTATGCTGCTGCTGGCAGTACACCGCAGTGTACCAGCATCGATTCATCTCTGCCTACACAGGACGCAGTAACAGCCAATTTTAACTTTTCTCTAGAGGTCTTTTGCTCCAAGTGTCGTTATCGCAGTCGTTCAGACACGGACCGGGTGATCAGTAAACGATAAACGAGCTGCCAAAGCATCACGAGTTAACGGGACTGGAACCGAGTTCAAGTTGAGGGTTGGACTCGATCCTTGAGGTCTCTTCCAACCAGGTTGATTCTATGATTCTAGGTTGATTCGAAGTCAGCTCTGCTGCCGGTCCGATCGCCCGTTCTGTCCCAGCCCAGGCTGCTTCACTGGGGACCGGGTCATCCGGCTCAGCGGTGCATGGCAGCTCCTGAACCGACCCCGTTTTTAAACGAACACCAGCCCAGCACACATATTCCTCGGACCACCCCACCCAGGACCTAAGAGAATGATTTAGGAACGCCAGCGAGATGCTTTCAGCTGTGTCACCGACTGCAACTTTGCAAATCTACAATGGCTTCGTTTTTAAGGCTGATGGAATCAAGTGATTTGTAGCATGATTGTCCAATCTCACTTTTGAAAGGAGAGAGGGAAGACTCCTTTATCCAGCAGTCTTATCCAGTACCATTTTAACGGCTGTAATATAGAAGGCAAATAGCAGCAGCAGCAACCCCCACACCTCCCCTCCGCCCCAACCACTGTAACATTTTATGTTTAAAGCCACTTGGTATTGTTTGTTTTACTTTGTTACTTTGTCCGGACTACTAAAGCAAAAGAGCTGCTCTGCACGCACACAGCTCACAGATGTTACCTGGCCACTTTTTACAGAAAAAAAACTTATTTCTACATTTCTCAAGAGGCACTTGTGGCTTTAAGTCTCACGACGTACCCCAGATCTGCTTTAGCCAGTAAGACACATTTCGCGCATCCGCCGGCTTACAGAGAGCGCATGGGAGCCGCCGCGGGCGAAC